TACAGCAGGGGTCTCCAACCTGTGGCCCGGGAGCTACCGGTAGCTCGCCAGCCCTTTTTAAGTAGCTCCCCAAAAAAAATTAACTTGAATGAATACATTTTGAGTCAGTACATGTCTATTATGAGAGAATATAGGGTTTTACAGTTTCATTTGTGTTCTCTACGTTTTGTCGTAATTCTTTTTTATTCATACGTGCAAAAAGGAGTAGCTCTCTGCCTCTTTTGTTGCGTAAAAGTAGCTCTTCAATTGAAAAAGGTCGGAGATCCCTGAACTCTCTCAATGTGGGGGTCTCTCTCACTGTGGGGGTCTCTCTCAATGTTGGGGGTCTCTCTCAATGTGGGGGTGTCTCTCACTGTGGGGGTGTCTCTCAATGTTGGCGGTCTCTCTCAAGGTGGGGGTCTCTCTCACTGGGGGTGTCTCTCTCAATGTGGGGGTCTCTCTCAATGTTGGGGGTCTCTCTCAATGTGGGGGTGTCTCTCTCACTGTGGGGGTCTCTCTCAATGTTGGGGGTCTCTCTCAATGTGGGGGTCTCTCTCACTGTGGGGGTCTCTCTCACTGTGGGGGTCTCTCTCACTGTGGGGGTGTCTCTCACTGTGGGGGTCTCTCTCACTGTGGGGGTCTCTCTCAATGTTGGGGGTCTCTCTCAATGTGGGGGTCTCTCTCACTGTGGGGGTCTCTCCTCAATGTTGGGGGTCTCTCTCACTGTGGGGGTCTCTCTCACTGTGGGGGTCTCTCTCACTGTGGGGGTGTCTCTCACTGTGGGGGTCTCTCTCACTGTGGGGGTCTCTCTCAATGTTGGGGGTCTCTCTCAATGTGGGGGTCTCTCTCACTGTGGGGGTCTCTCTCACTGTGGGGGTGTCTCTCTCTCTCCCCCATGTGTCCTTGTGTGTATGCTTCATTCTCTGTTGTCTCTTTGTGTGTTTTTAAGTGTCATAAATGTCATATTTAGATCCATTTGGTTTATGACTAATATAACGAGCCACAACCATATTCTCAGACACTAATCTATAATCCATGACGTCTGTCGCTCACCGCATCAATACGGTGGAAGTGTCTCACCAAGACATTCATACACTGCAAAAAGTGACAAAATATAAGGTAATATTTTTTTTTATTTTAACCTGAGCACATTTTGACTTTCTTAAAACAAGATTTGCCAAGGTGTTTTTCCAGGTGCTGCTGCGATTTTTGTCTCATTCTAAAGGAGACATTTCTTGATTTGTCTTGTGCCGTTTTAAAACAATTTTGCTTGTCCCAATAGCAAATCGTGTTTTTAGACTGTGAAATGTGCGCAAATTACAATAAAACCACTTGATTCAAGCATTTACTACTTTATATTTTATCATTTTTTGCAGTGTCACTTTATAAACTACATTTATCAGTAGTGAGTGAGTCCAGTGACCCCTGTTCTTAGACGGAGATGCTCTGAGTCAATCTGTTTGGTTCTTTCGACCAATGACTGATCTGATTTTCTAATATTGGCAAATCAACAATTCCGTAAAGTCCTGGGGGTGACTGCGGTGGTGCTTTTGGGCTGTACACACATCTATTGATTTGTTCTGAGTTGCACTGAGTTGCGTAACAAAAACTTCCAGACTGCCCCTTTTTACAGAACGACGCCAAACAGGTCATGGCAACAAAGAGGCTTCAATCGTGCCAAAATGCCGGGACCAAAACATGCAAGGTCACACGGTGAAATTTAAAAAAGAGGTCAATACAGTATTTAGGACTGACGATGACGAGTCGTTTTATAAAAATAAATTCAAATCAAGGGTAAAAATAAACACAAAATTCCAGAAATGAGACAGACCCTGAAACAAAAGTGTTTTTGGACAATGTAAGGACAACGAGTGGGGAAAAGCACAGGGCATAGATACAGGGTATAGATACAGGGTATAGATACAGGGTATGAGACAGGGTATAGATACAGGGTATGAGACAGGGTATAACACAGGGTATAGATACAGGGTATAGATACAGGGCATAGATACAGGGTATGAGACAGGGTATAGATACAGGGCATAGATACAGGGTATGAGACAGGGTATACACACAGGGTATAGATACAGGGTATAGATACAGGGTATGAGACAGGGTATGAGACAGGGTATACACACAGGGTATACACACAGGGTATAGATACAGGGTATAGATACAGGGTATGAGACAGGGTATACACACAGGGTATAGAGACAGGGCATAGATATACACAGGGTATAGATACTTAGATACAGGGTATAGATACAGGGTATAGATTCAGGGTATAGATACAGGGTATAGATACAGGGCATAGATATACACAGGGTATAGATACAGGGTATGAGACAGGGTATATATACAGGGTATAGTTACATGGTATAGATACAGGGTATAGATACAGGGTATGAGACAGGGTATAGATACAGGGCATAGATACAGGGTATAGTTACAGGGTATACACACAGGGTATAGATACAGGGTATAGATACAGGGTATAGATACAGGGCATAGATTCAGGGTATAGATACAGGGTATCAGGGTGGGGCACACAATCCATAGAATAGTCCAAAAGTCCACATTATGAAACATAATCAGACTAAAAACAGCTACAATCGAGGGATGCTAAAGCTGCTAAAATGATTTCACTGTAAAAAGTAAAATCTCGGTAAGATTTATGAACTCAAAATAACAAAAATTGTGCTTATTTTTATAGAAACGTTTTTCTTTTGCTTGAATGTAGTTTGTCACGAGATTATTTCACTGGAGAACAACGCTTCATAATCTTGTCAGAGGAAAAAGTCTGAGCGGTGAGTTTTTAAGTATTTGTTCTTATTTTCACTCTTCTTGTTTTGATCAAATAAGTTTGTGACGCTGTAGTTTAAGAAATCATGTCTGAAAAATACTTCTAGTGCAGGTCATTTTTATCAATATAAGCCGTATTTTACTTATTTTCACATATTTAATCTTTTTTTAAGGTAATTTTTCCAGTGTATTAAGTTAAACAAAAGCAACCTGAAGTTTCATATTTAGAATTCTATAAATATACATGTAAAAAGGTGGGTAAACGGACTCGACCTTTGCACTCCGAGGTTTTGTTCTTTCAGCAAACAGCAGAATGTACTTTGGGCACGGACACAAGTTACTGGAACACGCGACATCACAACTGAGACTTGTACTGCAAATGTGAGAAAAGTCACAAACGCATCATGGTCTCAAGCATAAGTATAAGTTATATATAGAGAAGCTTAAAACATATATATTTAAGGGATATATTCATTAACTTTTATGGACATTGGTCGGCCTGCTCCCTGTGGCTCCTGCTCTGTATGTTATCATTGCATCTCCTGTTTGATTCTCTGATCTTTTGTTGGTGAATCGACAACTTTGTACAGACCTCTGAGATGACTGCACTAAAGCCATTTAACTGAAAAGACCTGTTTAGACCTGCTTTAGTGTGAATTATTAATATTCTTCTGTTTGTTTTATTCTGTTTTACTGTTTTTTAATCTTCTCTATTTATATGTTGTTCTTTTAGACCCACTCTGTTAAGAATGTGGCCTCCTCTCTCCTCTGGGTCTTGGTCCTGTGGGGTCTGGGGCCTCCTCTCTCCTCTGGGTCCAGTGGAGTCTACGGGGCCTCCTCTCTCCTCTAGGTCTGGGTCCTGTGTGAGTCTGGGGCCTCCTCTCTCCTCTGGGTCCTGTGTGAGTCTGGGGCCTCCTCTCTCCTCTGGGTCCTGTGTGAGTCTGGGGCCTCCTCTCTCCTCTGGGTCCTGTGTGAGTCTGGGGCCTCCTCTCTCCTCTGGGTCTGAGGCCTGTGTGAGTCTGGGGCCTCCTCTCTCTGGGTCCTGTGTCGTCCCCTGAGGCTGCCGCTGGGTCTCTGCTCCTGGTGCAGACTGCTCCTCGGATGACGCTTCCTCATGTTTTCCATGGTTTGATTCTTTTGCTCTTCTTTAGTCGACGAGTGACAGTTTATCAGACCATAAGGTTATTATTGTTATTACTGTAAATATTATACAGAATTATACACAGCTGCACATGTACGTCTCAGTCGAGGGATCTTTGTTCTTGTAATTATCAGACAGTTCTGCAGTGACTCAGCATTTCAGATTCAGATCTGGAGCAGTCTTCCTGAACATGTGAGACAGACTTCTCTGACCGTATTTATTTAGTTCTGCTCAACTAAATAAATACATACAGTAAATACAATTCAGCGATTGAGCTGTTTTTTGACTTCTTGAACATGGAGCAAAAATACAAGAAAACAGAAAAACAAATATCTTCCTTTTCTAATGTTTTCTGCATTAATCTCCAACATGTTTTTGTTTTTACGCAGTTCATTTGAATTAATGATTTTCATGATTGTACTTTGTAAAGAGCAGATTCTAAGCCTTTCAAGTATTTTGTCTAATGTTTCACTGCAAAAAGGGGAAGGCAACATAAGCTCCTTTGTGAAATGTCTTTAAAATATCTGATGTATTGTCATGTCCACAATTGAGATAAATAACTAAATAAACAAAAGATACAAAGTGATGGAAAATATGTCAAAAATGGCTCAAATTTGGTAAAAATGTGTCTTAATCTGAGCACATTCATTTTATGTTTAACAGATTTAAACAAGTATTACCCCATATTCATATTCTATCACTTTTGGCTATATACTCATCTGTTTTAACAATTGAAAAAATCAAATATGATCATTTATCATCCAACATAAATTGTATTTCTGTTATTGCAAAATATATGACTAAATGTTTTATTCGTGGAAGAATGGAGATGACAGTGCAAACCCTCACGACCAACACAGCACCCGTTTCTTAAAGCCACCGTTTTGATCTCGTCATAGATGCGACTGTGAATCCCCCGTTAACCATTTCCAGTCAGGACTCCACCCTTAAGGTCCCGGTTTGTGGACATATAAATATAACCTCCACTTTTCAAATAACATTCAATCTGCACTATTTTAATACTCACCTTTTCTTCAGCATTTTAATCCATTGTTTTTTGTTTTTGCGCGCTCTGAAGATGCATCCGCGGCCGCTCCTCCTCGCCTCCTGCCTACTCGTTGGGTTCCTGCTCCTCGTCAGAAGGAGCCACAGCAGTCCCACGTGTAACAACCGGTGCTGTCGGTTCGTGGAGGGCTTCCCCGTTCGGCTGAGGAGACTCCGGGAGGACTACTCACAGATCCGCGACTATTACGTAAGTGCGCGCCGTGCCAAACTTGATCCAAAAAGGGCACCATTACGCACGGCCGCGCCACGCATTCTCATCTCTCTTTCTTTTCTCTTTCTCTTTTTGGCTCCAACGCAGGAAGCCAATGACGATCTGGACACGGTGCTGCTTGACAATTCCGTGGAGCAGTCTCTGAAGGTGAGGCTTTACAAAGTTGTTGATTTAGCCAACAGCAGATCAGAGAATCATCCAGTTAGAACACAGGGAGCGGTGTGAGCGCTGAGCAGATCCAGAGTTGGACGCGTTCTGAAAAGAGCGTTGTATTTTGCTGGAGACTTTCTGACCCTGCATACATCATCTCTTCTGTCTTAACCACAGTCCTAACACGAGAACTCCCAGAGCAGTCAATCTGACGGTTTTTAGTTTTGGATGCGTGTTTATACTCAGCCTGTGCACATTGTTAGTCTTCCAAGCTGTGTGACCTTTTCTGTATCTCCGTTTAGAGTATGTCTATGTATTTTTAAATAATAATGATAATAATGTGTACATTTTGATATCTAAGTAGTTTTACCTTTAGCACTTATTAAAGGCTCTAAAACTGATCAAAAACGTATCCATGACTTAAAACTAAAAACTAAAATAGATGGAGCTCTGGTAGTTTCAGAATTCTTATACTTGCTTCTTTATTATGATAAAGTTATAGATTTTAAAACAAAGACAATTCCTCGGCCTCTTAAAAAAGAATTGCACCCTGATTGATTCCCTTTCAACGTCTCTTGTTAATAATTGTTTACTTTGCTGCAAAAATGTGTCCAAATTTGGCAAAATGTAACTTAACTGAACTTAACACAGTCAGAATGTGTCAGACTAAGATTAAAAAAACTTGATTCAAGCCTTTATTACTTCATATTATATCAGTTTGTGCAGAGTTCCGTTAGTTTCACTCACTTTCTTGTGAAACAGAAGCACTTTCATTTTCCTAAATATTTACAATAAGTTTGCAACATAAACAAATTCATCTTCTTTCATTTATAAGAATTTAACTTGTTGCCAAATTCTCAAAACGGAGACTTCTGATTTCTCGTTCTTCTCGGTCTATTCCACGGTTTTACTTCGGCCTCTGTAACAAAATGAATTCACCAAACTCAGCATTTACAGCTTTGTCTTTGTCTTTGTTGTGTGCTCCTCCCACTGTCCTGTAAGTGCGCTGCAACACTGCAATTTCCCCATCGTGAGACAAATGAAGGTTCTCCTATTCTACCGTATTCTCTCTTCACAAAAGTGCAAAAGAAAGTAAAAGCAGTTTAAAACATGTTAAACTGTGGGACGTACTGTACTTTTATGCAAAACAGTTGGAGCCGCTTTTTGAAATAAATATTAATAGATTTAATTTAATCTATTTTAAAATGTAAATTGAATCTATTTTTTTATCAGGTCTTTATTGAGATCTCTTTGTGCTTCTCTTTTATCTGAAGATGGTTCTCTATTCTTCATTCAAAGACAGAAATAGTCATTTATGCACAAAGCTCAAGAACTCGAGATTCAGACAGAGTTAAAGGACCAGGACTGAGGCTGTAGATCCAGGACTGAGGCTGTAGATCCAGGACTGAGGCTGTAGATCCAGGACTGAGGCTGTAGATCCAGGACTGAGGCTGTAGATCCAGGACTGAGGCTGTAGACCCAGGTCTGAGGCTGTAGACCCAGGTCTGAGGCTGTAGACCCAGGTCTGAGGCTGTAGACCCAGGTCTGAGGCTGTAGACCCAGGCCTGCACTGATTGTTCATAAACCCATATTATATAAAGTAAACAGAGTAAACCTGGTCTCTTCCCCAGAGTCCGTTCGCGTGCCTGGCCATGGACGGGATCCTGGGTTTCTACCTCGGCACGGTGCTTCCTGGAGCGCTGCGCAGCGTGACAGACGACACCAAGACCCTGCGGCCGCACATGGAGTCCATTCAGCTGATCTTCGACGAGCTGAAGAGAGAAGTCACCTCATGTGTAAGTGAGCGTCCATTCTGCTTCTTTTCTCCAAGGTGCTTGTCCTGACCTGGTCCTGACCTGGTCCTGACCTGGTCCTGGACCTGGTTATTTTTCATAATTCCATAGATATGAATGAGAGCCGTCAAATTGACTGCTCTGGGAGTCCCAGTGTTTAAGTACAACGAAATATCACTCGAGTAATATTAAGAGTAATGGTCCGAAACATTATTCAAGTAAGAGAAAACAATGATTCATGATTAGCTGGGACACCTAACTTTTAAATCTCAAAACAGTTTCTATCTCTAGTTTTCATATAGTGACGCACAGGGCTTGTCCTGATGTAAACAAAAACATGTTTCCGTGACGATACCATGTTGCCGTGACGATAACATGTTGCCCTGACGATACAACAATAACATGTTGCCGTGACAATAACGTGTTGCAGTGACGATAATGTGTTGCCGTGACGATAACGTGTTGCCGTGACGATAACGTGTTGCCGTGACGATAACGTGTTGCCGTGACAATAAAGTGTTGCTGTGACGATAACGTGTTGCCGTGACAATAACGTGTTGCTGTGACGATAACGTGTTGCCGTGACGATAACGTGTTGCCGTGACAATAAAGTGTTGCTGTGACAATAACATGTTCCCGTGACAATAACGTGTTGCCGTGACAATAACGTGTTGCTGTGACGATAACGTGTTGCTGTGACAATAACGTGTGGCTGTGACAATAACGTGTTGCCGTGACGATAACGTGTTGCCGTGACAATAACGTGTTGCTGTGACGATAACATGTTGCCGTTACGATAACCTGTTGCCGTGACAATAACGTGTTGCTGTGACGATAACATGTTGCCGTGACGATAACATGTTGCTGTGCCTCTTCACTAGATCCTTTTCTGTCACTTTATAAGGTTATCCTCTGAAACCTCGGGTCTCTGTCTGCTCTGTTAATCTGTTAAAGGTCTATTGTGTGTAGAGTTTATTTACTAGAATCTCATGAAGGTGTTTTGTTTGTGAGCCTTTTCTATCTATTGTTTAGTTACTTTTTATCACTTGATTTATTCTTATTCCAAGAACTGTTGCTTTATTTCCTCATTCCAAGGGAGACATTTCTTGTGTCTTTTTAAAACAAGATCATTTTCCCAAATTTGAGCGATTTTTGACTTATTTCTTGCAGTGTTTGCATCATTAATGACAAAGCAAACTCCTCGTTTTCCCTCTAACCCTTTCCAAGTAATAAAAACAATTTTTTTTTTGATTCTGACTAACTGCTTAAACCTTAAAACACCAACATTTGATCCTAAATTTTCAGTGAAAAAAACGCCTCTTGTATAAACTCTATTCTTACGCAAACTTCAGTCACTGTGAGTGTAACATGGTGCTCCTCTGGTCGCTCCGACAAGTTTTCAAAACACGTCTGTCTTTTTGAGTGCGTCACCAGGACTTAAGCAAGACTCATGGAGGAAGTACTTTTTTCCACAAAACTTATGCATATGTAAGATTTTCATGTCATGTGATCATTAAAAGGCCCTGATCCGTCAAAAGGCATTAATAAAACCTGCTCTTTTCCAAAACTTCTTTAACTGATAACAGTAGTTCAGAGATATTTAAATTTCTAAATAAGTTTTCCAGCTCCTAAATCTTGTTATTGTTTTCATTTCGATGTCCCACCCTCCACCGTTTCACCAATCAGAAAGTCTGTGATCCGGGCGCCAAATCTCACCGCGTGGAGCTAATCTCACTGGTAAAGTACCATGTGGCGCAGAACTAAAAAAGGTCTCGTTATGATTCTCAAATCATTAACAACAAAGCAAGGAAAAACCTTTGTGAAAAAGGTGTTGGTTATAGATTTGTTGTTGACAAAACTCTTGTCTATTCAGCTGTTATGGTCCCAGCTGGATTCGTCTGCATATCTGGCAACCTGAGTCAGGGAGAGTGGGAGAGGCTGCAGTACCACTTTTGACCAGATTTTTACAAACTGCTCCTTTAAAGTCGTACGAAGAACATTTGTGTGACGTTCTCTAACTTGTCTTTGCTTTTGTTTGATTGCAGAGGAACTATTTTTCCTGCAAGAGGCCTTTTGACATCCAGACCTTCAACTCCACATACACAAAAGTGAGTCGCCCAATGCCTTAGAGATGAACTCTAAACTATCTGCTTTTGAAATCACTTGAAATTATGGCACTAGTTAAAGCTGGGGTACGTAACTTTCACAGAAAACAAAGTTCATCCAACTCTTAGATGCATTTTTGGCCTCCCTCACGTTTTTATATCTGCTTATTCAGACAGAAAAGTGAAAGGGAGACCGCCACCTTCTCTCAGCCAATCAGCTCTCAGCCTAAAGCGGCAAATAGTGACTCACAGGGCTAATTCTTACATGCAACATTTCATTTTCTAAAAAGGTGAGAACCGTATGTTGTGGACGGATTTGTTCACAGCATTTTGCAAATACAAGACTCCTGCAAACAAAATATATAATTGAAATGGAAAAAAGTGAGGTACCCCAGCTTTAAATTGAGGTAATACGTCACAATATATATGCATTTTGTTTAAAACCAGAAGCAGTATCTCTCTGGTCTCTCTCGCTGGTCGCCCTCTCTGGTCTTTCTCTTTGGTCTTTCTCTTTGGTCTCTCTCTCTGGTCTCTCTCTCTGGTCTCTCTCTGGTCTCTCTCTGGTCTCTCTCTGGTCTCTCTCTCTCTGGTCTCTCTCTCTGGTCTCTCTCTCTGGTCTCTCTCTCTGGTCTCTCTCTGGTCTCTCTCTCTGGTCTCTCTCTCTGGTCTCTCTCTCTGGTCTCTCTCTCTCTGGTCTCTCTCTCTGGTCTCTCTCTCTGGTCTCTCTCTCTGTCTCTCTCTCTGGTCTCTCTGGTCTCTCTCTCTGGTCTCTCTCTCTGGTCTCTCTCTCTCTGGTCTCTCTCTCTGGTCTCTCTCTCTCTGGCTCTCTCTCTGGTCTCTCTCTTCTACTCTTATCAAGGCGTTGTTGTGGAAATGTCCAGATGCTTAAATGAATATTAAGTTTTCTTTTGGATTAAAGTTGTTTTTCTTCACAGATGGAGAGCAAAGGTCTGTTCAAAGCAATGGGAGAGCTGGATATTCTGTTTAATCACATAGAGAGTTATCTGGCCTCTAAACGACAGCGGCCGTCTGCCCCAGCCGCCTGAAGCCGCCTGCCCCAGCCCCCTGCCCCAGCCCCCTGCCCCAGCCCCCCGCCCCAGCCCCCCGCCCCAGCTGCCTGAAGCCCCCTGCCCCAGCCCCCTGCCCCAGCCCCCCGCCCCAGCTGCCTGAAGCCCCCTGCCCCAGCCCCCTGCCCCAGCCCCCTGCCCCAGCCCCCCGCCCCAGCTGCCTGAAGCCGCCTGCACCAGCCCCCTGCCCCAGCCCCCTGCCCCAGTCGCCTGCCCCAGCCCCCCGCCCCAGCTGCCTGAAACAGTCTTGCTTCAAGTGTTAACCACCAGATCACTCCTCACCTGCGAACTGAACTCTGAACTAAACCAAACCTGTTTAGGGCTGTACGGTTCATCACAAATATGAAGTCATCAAAAACGCCACAGATTCTGTTCCGGAATCATCTTGTTTTAATGTGTTAGAAATGATTGTTATTTCATTATTTCAGACATAGATGTTTGTGAGAATCGAGCAGCTCTAGTCACACTATGCAACTGAAAAGTGAACTCCGTTGGTCCCTGTGGGAAACATGGACACAGCTCATATCTGTCTTATAGACAACTAGGATTCTGAAGAAGTGCAGTACTTTCTGGACAATGAGCCACGACTTCCTTCAAGGTCTTTGATCTCTGCGTTCCCTGGAGGGTGAAGGGGATTTGGACAAAACTCCATCAGCAGCAGACATTCCTGCTTCAGGGTGTTTATGTGAACAGCAGAGATCTGAGGAAGTGCAGAGAAATACACAGGACGTGTTTGTAAAAGATTAGGGCTTTGTACAAAGCACTAGTGGAATGTTTTGGTCAACATAGACTGGATTCACAGAGTGCTTCGATCCTCACAGTCAGCGGTTTAAAACATTGTCTCTGAATCATGTCGAGTCCTCGTCAAACAGTATCGGCTTTGTTTTCATCGGCTGTTGTGCAGCCTTTATGTGGTGAGCTTAATAGTCCAGAAAGTACTGTGTATATAATAATGTTACTCTGTAAATTATGTATTTATGTGTATTTATTATTTTATTTATACAAATAAATGTCTATTCTGACACAATGTATGGTTCGATCGTTGCATCACAGGTTTGTCATAGTCTCAAACTGTTACAATCGGTCATTCATTCAGTCTGTTTTTGGGAATGTGGCCCTGGCCACAGCTGCCCTGGGGCACACTGTGGAAGTGGCGTCAGCTTGTCTGGCCACTGCTCCATGGTCCAGGATCAGTTTTTCATTGGGTCTGCGTTAAGGGTCACATTTATGGTTAGGGTTAAGAACAGGGTAAAGGTCAGGGTTAGGGGTGAGTCCAGGACCAACATGTAAGAGTAAAGTACAGTTACTGAGTAAAGTAGTGACATCAGATCGTGCCTGATCACTGCACGGTTCACACGATGGAAGTTTGTGGAATTTCTTCACTGCATTTCACACAATCGACAAAACACAAACATCACAAAGAAAGCTTGAGCGATATGTACCATCATCCTCTCTGACCCCCACCAACCATTCACACACACCAGACTCATTCGGAAGTTGGTGAAGTCACTTGCCCAAAGAGACTACCACAGTTTGGCACTTTAAAGCCCCAGCCGCCGCACTGTGGCACCTGGTGTTCCCAGAGGTCTACCATCACAGCACTAGCCAGGCCCTGTCATGCTTAGCTTCAGAGGTCTGACAGATCTGGATTTCACCTGCAGCTTTGAACACTTTTGAACAAGTTCTGTGTCTTCGGTGTTTTCGGTGAAACTTTAAGCTTTGAGAAGCAGCCTCCGGAGTGGATCAGAACAGATACACTGCAGCGGTTTCAGAGCCGACTTCTCTGCTGCGATGACCTCAGCACTTCCCGCGTACATTTGGACATGAGCCGACATTAGCCGAGAACAAACATAAACAAAAATGGCGGCGGGTCGGCTAATGCTAACGTGTGCTTCGAGCGCTACACGGAGGAGGATTCTACTGCTTTGTCCAAATAAACAAATAAAGAATGCTTTCTTACTTAAATTTACGCAAAACAGTAGTTTCATTTTCCATGTTCGCAGCTGTTGTTAAATACAGAATGATGTTGGTTCTTTCCCGTCTTTGCCGCGGCCTGAGGAGGATGTTATTGAGAAGTGGTTCTACTGCCGGGTGTCACGTGAGTCGTGTTGTGAAATTCCACTGCCCCCTACTGGCCGGGCGCTAGAACTACATTGTTTTCAGTTTTTGTCTAAACGCTGTGCCAGAGCCGGGATGTTTTTGCGAATTGCTTTGCAGCGTCTCCGTCTTTGAGATCATAAACACAAGTTCACAGAGTCCTCCAGCCAACTCCAGCTCTGCCAATAGAAGCATGTTGTACTTTGTTGTGAAGCTCAGAACCTCCAGAACTCAGCTTGAACTTTATTTCCACGCACCCACTTTTTTTTTTGAATGAATGATATTAATCCAATCCAATCTTAAAAAATACACACATGTATAAACTCAAATAAAAACACAGTATAATACATAATACAGTTTATTTAGTAAGTTTGTGACCAATGACCAAGTCCCAATGAGCTGCAAAGAAATGTTAAGACTTGAGCTTTTATAAACATGACTTGGACACAACAGTTTCCTTGGACAGACCAGAGCAAGACTACAGCGAGAAATGCACCAAGATGTCTATGCATTTACCAGCACAGACGGCTGATGGTAAAACGCCTCAGTGTTTCACAGAAGTACACACACACACTGCACACAGTACACACACTACACACTGCACACACACTGTACACACACTACACACTGCACACACACTACACACACTACACACTGTACACACACACTACACACTGCACACACACTGTACACACACACTACACACACTACACACTGTACACACACACTACACACACTACACACTGTACACACTGTACACACAGTACCACTGCCCCACATCACAGGGAGAGGTCTCACATTTTCACAGGCGTCAACAAGAACACTGCTGAACTTGTGGATAGTACTACATTACTGGTGACATACAAGTGCTAACCACTCAGCCACGTCTGCAGGTTGTTTGAGCAGAACTGGAAATTGTTACATAGATTGTGTCGCTGCTAGGTTTGGAAATGACTGCGACGACTTCTGTAACCGCCATGAGATAAGTCAGAGAGAAACCTGTGAGAACAAAACCATCTGGAACTCGGAGAAATATTTATAGCTTTTTGTGACTATCCATCCATCCATCCATTTTCTTCCCCTTAATCCATTTCTGGGTCGGGGGGGTGGCAGTCAGAGCTGCACCCAGTTCACTGATCCTCCTGCAGGTGGTGAGTCCACAGGAGCTGAGATCTTTCAGTGGGAGCTTTTAGGCAAAGTGGGGTTAAGTGTCTTGCCCAAGGACACAACGACAGCAGACATCAGTGGGAGTCGTGAAGTAGGTCTTACCGTGGGCTTGAACCCACAACCTTCAGGCCAATGCTCTACCAACTGAGCCACTGTCGCCCTTTTGTGACTATAATAATTAAATCAGCGTTGTTTTGCTTCCTCTGATGTTGGTTAAGTGTCAGTGTGGCCTTTTCTCCCAATCTCTCCGGTTTATCTCTCTTTGACGTGTCTCTCAGGTCTCTCACCCTGGTCTCTCTCTCTGGTCTCTCTCTCTGGTCTCTCCCTCTGGTCTCTCTCTCTGGTCTTTCTTTTGGTTTCTCCCTCTGGTCTCTCTCTCTGGGTCTTTTGGTTTCTCCCTCTGGTCTCTCTCTCTGGTCTCTCCCTCTGGTCTCTCTCTCTGGTCTTTCTCTTTGGTTTCTCTCTCTGGTCTCTCTCTCTGGTCTCTCTCTCTGGTCTCTCCCTCTGGTCTCTCTCTCTGGTCTCTCCCTCTGGTCTCTTTCTCTGGTCTCTCTCTCTGGTCTCTCCCTCTGGTCTTTCTCTTTGGTTTCTACCTCTGGTCTCTCTCTCTGGTCTCTCTCTCTGGTCTCTCTCTCTGGTTTTTCTCTTTGGTCTCTCCCTCTGGTCTCTCTCTCTGGTCTCTCTCTCTGGTCTCTCCCTCTGGTCTCTCTCTCTGGTCTCTCCCTCTGGTCTCTCTCTCTGGTCTTTCTCTTTGGTTTCTACCTCTGGTCTCTCTCTCTGGTCTCTCTCTCTGGTCTCTCCCTCTGGTCTCTCTCTCTGGTCTCTCCCTCTGGTCTCTCTCTCTGGTCTTTCTCTTTGGTTTCTACCTCTGGTCTCTCTCTCTGGTCTCTCCCTCAGGTCTCTCCCTCTGGTCTCTCCCTCTGGTCTCTCCCTCTGGTCTCTCCCTCTGGTCTCTCCCTCTGGTCTCTCCCTCTGGTCTCTCCCTCTGGTCTCTCTCTCTGGTCTCTCCCTCTGGTCTCTCTCTCTGGTCTTTCTCTTTGGTTTCTACCTCTGGTCTCTCTCTCTGGTCTCTCCCTCAGGTCTCTCCCTCTGGTCTCTCCCTCTGGTCTCTCCCTCAGGTCTCTCCCTCTGGTCTCTCTCTCTGGTCTCTCTCTGGTCTCTCTCTCTGGTCTCTCTCTCTGGTCTCTCCCTCTGGTCTCTCTCTCTGGTCTCTCCCTCTGGTCTCTCTCTCTGGTCTTTCTCTTTGGTTTCTACCTCTGGTCTCTCTCTCTGGTCTCTCCCTCTGGTCTCTCCCTCTGGTCTCTCCCTCTGGTCTCTCCCTCTGGTCTCTCCCTCTGGTCTCTCTCTCTGGTCTCTCTCTCTGGTCTCTCTCTCTGGTCTCTCCCTCTGGTCTCTCCCTCTGGTCTCTCTCTCTGGTCTCTCTCTCTGGTCTCTCCCTCAGGTCTCTCCCTCTGGTCTCTCCCTCTGTCTCTCCCTCTGGTCTCTCCCTCAGGTCTCTCTCTCTGGTCTCTCCCTCAGGTCTCTCCCTCTGGTCTCTCCCTCTGGTCTCTCCCTCTGGTTTCTCCCTCTGGTCTCTCCCTCAGGTCTCTCCCTCTGGTCTCTCCCTCAGGTCTCTCCCTCTGGTCTCTCCCTCAGGTCTCTCCCTCTGGTCTCTCCCTCTGGTCTCTCCCTCTGGTCTCTCCCTCAGGTCTCTCTCTCTGGTCTCTCCCTCAGGTCTCTCCCTCTGGTCTCTCCCTCTGGTCTCTCCCTCAGGTCTCTCCCTCTGGTCTCTCCCTCTGGTCTCTCCCTCTGGTTTCTCCCTCTGGTCTCTCCCTCAGGTCTCTCCCTCTGGTCTCTCCCTCAGGTCTCTCCCTCTGGTCTCTCCCTCAGGTCTCTCCCTCTGGTCTCTCCCTCTGGTCTCTCTCTCTGGTCTCTGGTCTCTCTCTCTGGTCTTTGGCCTCTTGCTTCTGTCATCATGATGTGAATGAACAAATATCAGTTATTGATCTTTGAAATTCGT